GGGGGGGGGGGATTGTTGTGCTTTATGGTGATAAAGTTAGTTCTCAGTCAAATGTAACTGTATTTAAAAAGAAGCATTTGACTCTTTTCATTGCAATAATTTGGTTGACATTTATTGCTTTGTATTACTGGAATCCTATTGTACGTTGAAACATCGTCCATGTTTATCTGTCTACACTTCAGTTTTTGTTATAGTACCATTACCAGTTACGACCTGGGTAATAATGCTTCTGTTTCTATGCTCACTGCTGAGGTCTTTAATAATCAGGTTGTGTCTTATCGTCAGGATTCGGGAGAATGGCACCTTCTCTACTTTTAGCATTAAGCTTCAAACTTTCCTTTTTGCTAAAGCATATACTTAGGGCTGGATCAGGTGACCCTGAATCTTCCAATGCTTCTGGGGGCTTCTGTGATGCACTGGATGTTTCTTCTTCACTCACCTTTTCCACTCACTGTATATTTATACACCACTTGCATTTAATCATTTAGGAATGATTGCACGTCTGTAACGGGTGGACTCAAAGGCAGGATAAATTAACAAAAAGTGAGCTATTTATTTGGCCAATAACTGGGTACAAAAGGCAAAACATGAAAGATAAATGAAACATCAAACACAAAACTTTAGCCAGACCCCTGGTGGGACAGCCAGGGCGTTGTGTATCGGCATCAAGGCAAGAAACCTTGGACAAAAGAGCACAGACAGTTGTACCCAGCATCGGAGCAAATACCCATTCCGGAGTGAAGCTGCAGGTCTCTGTCTGTCGATCTAGCTTCCACCATCGAGAGCCAAGCTTTCGAATGTGGGAAGCTGATGGCGGTGGCGGCAGAGAGCAGGCGTACTTGGTCATAAAATCAAGTACGCCTGACTCTTAAAATCAGTTCCTTCTCTGGAGGTTGGAGTGAAGAAGAGACAGCCATAGAACATTGCAGTCGAGGTTTGTATTGTATATCTTCTATGTCCATTGATGCTCAGAGCGTACTGTCACAGGTGGACTACGACAAGTTAGAGGACCCAAACACAGATGTGCGGAGGGTATGAAAGGCAGAGGAAGAACAAAGGGTGACTCGGTCAATATATAGATTAGGGGTGATTAGGGGAGTGGAGACGGCTGGGGAACACAGCAGGAACAAAATAGACATAATGAGACAGGGGAAGCAAAACTGAACATAATGCACATGAGACAAGGTACTATCAAGAACAACAACAAAAAAGACAAGACATAACTGTTTCCTGACAGAGACAGAATACAGACAAAATACAATCCAGACAAAAAGGTGAATAAAGATGGAGCCATGACTGACTGGCACAGGAGACGCTGATGACAAGACACAGAGATGGGACTGTGATAGACTAGACACAAAAGGGTACTAACACAATCACCAAGTACTAGAAATATAGATATTAAATATGATATTTCTTAAATTCAAAAGAACAAATCATTAGTCCACAAAAGAGACTAAAAACACTGGACCATGACAGTGTCTTTTATCTTGTCTTCCTCCCCTCAACCTCAAACAGTTGTCACAGATGGCTGCCCTGCTTCTGTCCAAAGTTTCTTCCTGTTAAAACTAAGTTTTTCCTTCCCACAGTCACCAAGTTCTTCCAAATAGGGGATTGTCTGATTGTTGGGGTTTTCTCTGTATTGTTGTTGCGGTAACCAGGAGGAAAATCAACCTGAACCTGAGATTTGACTAACGGACAGGATCTCCCCTCCTTGGGTCTCCTCCATAGACTTTTCTGGAGATGCTGAGAAGTATGATTTCCCTGCAGATGAAGAACATCCTCTGATCCACCTTCTTAAAAAGGGAACTAGCACCCCAGTCTGACATGGAGAGAGCCCATCCCAGACCTCCATGCAATGTGGTAGAGACATGTCAACTTGGACAGCCTTAAGGAATTTGTGGTGAATCTCATCCATGCCCAGGGACCCAAAAACTCAGGACTTGTTTAACTACATCAGTGACCTCACCTCCAGTAATGGACAAGTCTTCCCCCCAGCTCCAGATTCTGCAGACGTCTTGTGTATTGTATGTATGCGCTCAACATGTTGTATTTTTGTGGAAATTTTGTCCTAAAAAATGCACATTGAAAATAATGACGTCAACATCAAGTGATGATGAGCTGGTCCTGATGTTTCTAAACAAGAAAAAAAGAAACTGAGGTTCTGGGTTCATTCATTCACCCATCTATTCCTGCAGCACAAGGGAGAATTTCATGGTTTCTAGGAGTTGAATCTGTGTCACTACTACCATGCTCGTGTATATTTCAGGGGTGCAGTTCGAGCTCCTGTTGACAGAGTTGGCACAACATCTGAGGAGGCAGAGAAATAATTTCAGAGAGTTTATTGACCTGGAGCAGTGTTTAGCAGTCTGTCTGAGGTAAAATAGTAGTATTTTATTATTTCCATATCACTGTATATTCAGCATGAGTGCGTGTTTTTATCTACAAGCACACTTGTTGCCAAAAGCAGTGGTTGATTGGTCAGAACTGGTTATTCAGATCCAAAAACACGAGCTTGGTTAAAAAATTTCCTTTTGAAAATTCCTCCAGCAAAATCATGTTGTTGGTTTGAGAAAATTTTAACACACAAAATATTTGCATAGATGTTACGCATCTGGTGTGGAAAAGTCTTAACTGAAAGTCTTGCTCGATGGTCTCACCAAACTCCCACACAGAAGTTTTTGCTTCATCTACTGCCAAAGCCAAGTCCTCTTGGCCTGCCAGCTGCCTCTGGAAACCCGCAGATTAACCAAGCTCAACGGGTATCCTCCTTCAGGCTCTGGTGTCCACCATCTGGTCCAGGAATTACCACTAGCACCAATGACCTTCCAGCTGAAACCCCCTCTATTGTCGAGGCCACAACAGCTTCCTCAATAGTAAATGCACAGAATATGGTCCACTCTGACTCAGTGCCCACAGCCTCTTTCAGAATGCTACGGTGTCTGCATTTGGGTACACTGGGCTTCTAGTAACTAATTTCCTTCTGTCACATGATCCAGTTCACCACTAGGTGGTGATTAGTTGGCAGCTCCGATCTTTTCACCCATGTCCAGGACATACAGCTACAGATCTGATGGTATGATTACAAAATCAATCGTCAGTCTCAACATGTGGATATTTAAATCTTCAGTAGGACAATGGAGTTCCCAGATAGAGCACCTCCAGCATCCAAGATAGCTGTTTACTCAAGATTCATTCCCTAACCTCAAGGCAAAGTGACAATGACTTCCATGTTGGGCAGAAGATGAAGCTTATCTACATGTTCAAATTTCTAGATGGAATCTGTAATGAAAGCGATGTTTGCAGGTGGATAAATGCTTTCATCAAACAGATCATCTTTAAGTACACACTATTTTTGAGTTTTGCGCATATATTCACTTTTAATAATAATATACACTGTACTGTAAATGAGACCTCTCATTACTCATTACTGTCATTTTCATTGTTGTGAGTTTCAAACCATGGTGGATTGATCTAAATGTAGCTTCTTGTGACCATCTTAACTAACTTCTTAACAAATAGAATATTATTTGACTTCACACAAACTTGCACACGTGGCCATCAATTTACGCTAAAATGTTTATTTAAAACGATTATTCATTTTGAAAATAAATTTAAGACATCAAGAGATAAATGTAAATAATCAGGTTAAAGTGCAAAAATATGTTTTGATATAATATTTCTGTAAAAAAATAGCATGGGAATGTGATATTCAATGGGAGATAAATTTGTTTCTACACATCCACTGGTTTCTCTTCCAAGTCAGGCTTGATAAGTAAATATACATTTATCCACTACTCCGTTATTTCTGTAAGAAATGGTTGGTGAAATGTTTCTTTCTTAAACATTATCTTAAGTTCTGAGATTAAAGTCTTGGGGCAGGGGGGTTGTTTGTTTGTTTTTTACTCATGTTTTCTTTGGTTTTCGTTCAGTGCCCTGGTCCCTGTTGAGTGAATCACTTGATCTTGGCTGGCTTCAGTTCCTTGATCTGCATGTGTAATGTTTTGTGGACGGCCAGAGTCCTGGACTGACAGAAGCCCTTTCCACACTCCTGACATTTAAAGGGCTTTTCTTTAGAATGGATGTACCTGCAGAGGGGAACACAACACTCCAGCAAGTCAGTGTTTACCAAAAATTTATGTCAAATTTCAGATCATTATTTAAAAGGCAATAATTGTCTGGTTTTATCATCCTTTCATTATTACCCAGCAAGAAAAAGCACACAGGCTTAGTTTACAGACAGTCTTCATGTGATTAACAAGCTTTATGGAGCCTGTGTACTCATTAAAAGTGCCATTATCACAATCTGACTTTTTAGCTTAAGGCTTATAGCTTACCTGCTTAAAAGGAGTTTCAGCAGCTTTTGTGAAGTTGTCTGATGTATTACAAATGTAATGCAATGCACAGAAGTCAGTGATATTCACTGACTACTGCGCACGAACACAACCACAAACTTTAGTTAGAAGACTTTAGTTTAGAAGAAGAATTGTGTAGATATGAGATGTTTTTGTTCATCCAGACAAAGATTGTTAGGATTAGCATGTTCTTTGCATAGTGGCAGTGAAAATACTAAACTTAGCACAAAAAGTTGTGGAAATTTGTGTTTGGTCTATTATTTCTTTGTTGTAACAATGCTTAAATTTTATACCGTTGTAAAACGGTTTTATTTGCCAGTTCTTCACTGCCAATGCCAAACAGCTTATTCTGCTTCTGACTCTTCTGGTACCAGGTGCTGACAATCAGGTGCCATTGGTGTGATATAGGACAACTTCAACCTAATGTTCCACAAAACCAAGTGGCAGCATTATTTGGAGTGAGGCAGTAAAGGCAGCCTTGGCCAAGTTTCGCATAAAGAAGATTGTCAAAGACAGGCCACTAAGTGGGTATCTCAAGAAGTAAATACCACAAGAAGACAGTTTTCTCATCCTATCAGCACTTAGGAACCATAGGTAGTCTTCTACAGTCTACAGTCAATATGGGCAACGGCTCTGTCCCTAGAAAACACGCAGTCCATCTCCTGTATCACAGGGCTGCCAAGAGGCCTGCTATGAGAACTCTTCACCATGGTGTCGGCAACATCAGGAACCTAGAACTTGAACATGTGGAGGTACATTATGTTCAGTGATGAGTTCAGATTCTGCCTATGGCAGCTGCCTCCCAGGGTAGCACAATAAGCTGTTTGGCATTGGCAGAGAAGGTTTGGCAAGTTTTTCATGGACACAACCCACATTCTCAACTTTGCTGCTCAACCCACAAATGTATTTTGCTTTCAAATGTGGCCCCATTTAAAGGGAAATAACGTGGCTTTCCAGTGGTAAACTATTTATTACCAAGAAACATGTTACATGTTACAACAAAGAAATAATTGACCAAACACAAACTTCCTTACCTGTTGCGTTAACTTTATGAATAAAAAAACTGGGATTTATGTTAATGTGAACAAAACTTGAGTGGAAACTAATTCCATTGTGTTGAACTGGTTTGATAAAGTTGGATAAACCAGCATCTCACCTGTGGTCCCTGAGGTGATCCTGTCTCCTGAAGGCCTTGTGACAGATATCACATGTATATGGCCTCTCATCTGTGTGTGTCCTCTCGTGGATCAAAAGGTTGTAGGATTTGGTAAAATGTCGGGCACAGAACTTGCAGACAAATTCTTTCTTGGTCTTTGAAGGCAGTCGGCCTCGACTAGACTTGCGCTCTGGTGAAGTAAGTTTGGTCACATCAAGCATGCATCCCAGGCTGGCTGCGGTCAGGTGTGGAGATGATGCCTGCGCCGCAGAAGCACTAGCGCTCACTGTCATGCTCAGGTCCTCCACCTCTAACTGATCCTCTTTGGTTGCTGCTGCTGCCAGGTTGGCAAAGTCAAAGCGAGGCTTGTTTTTGAAGGTCTGTAGCAACCCTGCCGAGTCTTGCTTAGGTGGCAGAAGGTGAGGGAAAATGGGGATGGATGCCATACAGGAAATCTGGGAAGGAAGCTTAGAGATGGTGCAGCGGGGCAGGGCAAAAGCTGGGTACCCCAGGGTCCACTGGTGAAGGTGGACGGCATGCAGGGCGCTAAAGCTGTAGATGCTGTGAAAATGATCTGCAGGCAGCTGAAGACCTGTTGAACTCTGGATGAGGGAACAGTTGGCCAACTGAAGTGATGGGTGGAGAGGAACTGGTGCTGGCAGAGTCTTGCTCCCCATGTCTGCTAAATCAAATCCAGCAGGCTGTCTAATTGAGACAAAAAATATCAGCTGATGAAAATATCAAACTTCAACTGAGCTACAGTTGTTTCTTTATAAACATTTATTTATTAAATTCATCAAATAAAAAATCTGTTAATAAAAAGAAATGATTAAAAAAAAGAATGTACTTGAATGTAATGCAAAGAGCATAAATTATTGGCCAAAAATTTGTTGGCTAAAGTACATCATAGTTTTCAAAATACATTTCACCAAAAACATCAAAGAAAAAAAGTAAAATAATAACAAAAGTTCATTATAGAACCAGTGTTAGTATGCACACACACACACACACACACACACACACACACTGAAAGCTCATGCACATGTGGTTGGGTGTTTCTTGTTACCTTCCCAGGTACATGCCTGGGGGTGTTGAGGGCAAGGAAACAGAATGACAGCATTCAACCAGAGAAATACCTGTGAGCTATTAAATCAGGTTTGATCAGCTGGAATAACAATAGACAATAATGCATCTTTGTCTGAGGCAGACGCTGATGGACACAAGCCATTGGAACTTCAAGTCCCATTGTCTGAATGAACAAAACCCACAAACCACTCCTCACCTCTTCGTCTCAAACTGCTTGTTTAAATAAGGCTCTTTTACCCAAGTGCCTTTCACTTAGATTTGAATTTTTACAAATATGTATAGTTTGTATATTTTTCACTTCACTATAAGTTTTGTGTCGCTACAGTAACTCTAGTAGTTACAATTACAGTTACTACCATAAATATACAATGTTTCAAACTGAATATTTAATTCCAAAAATGAAAACTAACCAAAAGATATTATTTTGATACATACAAAGTTAATCAGCTGTTATTAGTGGTTAAAAACCATTAACACATTGGTCAACAACATCAAAATGCTGCTTACTCATGAAATGCTGCTTACTTCATTTGTAACAATACGCATTAGCATTTTTTGATATTTAATCATTCAGTCTTTGCATTCAACAACAACACGTACATTGTACAATATACTATATCATCAAATATTAACGTTTAAAATCCTAAAAATTTGAAAGTCAGATCAACATTAACAGTTATCATTATGTTCTTTGAATGCTCATTACTCACATATTAATGCTAGAGCAATGTATCACAAATGAGGATTTGTGGGAAATATATTTGAACCACTGTTATTTGGAGAAAATTAGAATTTGGCTGTAATAAGGACAACACATTTGTTTTAGAAATATGCATGAAGGATCATTTGTAAAAAGCCAGACAACCGTTGCATTTCATTATATATCTAGAATGAACTTTTTGAGTCTGCATAGTTCGTTTTATAGTTTATAATTATTGGCCATTTTCAGTCCAGTGGTTGGAAATAGCAGTTGTGCAGTTTATAATAAAGAAGCTAAATGCAAACTTGACAGATGAATAAATTTAAATAAAAATATAGAAAGCCTTAACTGCAAACCTGAAGCTACTCATCCAGGTAGTTGCAGTGAGGACCAGTGAAGCTCAAACAGCCCCCTGGGGTCTGCTCCTTTCTGATCATGTAGCAGAAGTAATTGATTTTTACATAGGAGGTAATTAGAGAAGATACATGCTATGCTGCTAAGCCTTTCCACACCTTTAACCCTTGCTGTCTGCATATCACAAGATTCCAATCTAAACACCCACCAGCCTGATTCAGCCCCTCAGGGGTCTCTGTTGTGAACATTGGAATTTCACATTTACCTATTTAAGAAGAATAACTAGTTAGTAGTATTACACATGCCAAAGAAAAGAGACTTTACAAAACAGATTTTTAATAGATGAATGAATAGACGAATTAACAGACATATAATGAAACAAACATATATTGTGAAATAGTCACAAATTAATACTAATACTAACTGCTGTGAAACTTCCTTGTTCTTTTACTAATAGTAATGTTATGAAGCTCATTGATTTTAAATGCAGCTCAAAATGTATAAAGTATATTTCTTATGAACTATGCAAAATATTAAACTTTCTATTTCAAATGTGAGTAACATTGTCCAAAACCGAAGCACTGAAGTAATAAAAACGTGTTAATTTAAGTAAAGAAAAAGGTTTATTTTTACAATGCAGTGTAGATTACAAACCTAATATTTTTATTTTTACCTCAGTGAAATATCTAAGACTTGTTATGGTCTGGAAACTGATATGTAATCTAGACTTTCAGGCCCTCACTGCTTGTTGTGCTGTGTTTGCACAGCGTACGCAGACCTCAGAACAGTCATTTCTCACAGTGATGCTGTATTTGCTGCTTTATTTAGACAATGTTTGGGCTCTAAGGTCATTTAGTGGATAATGAAATGTCGATTAAAAAAAAAACATACTGTTTTGGCCGTCACTCTTTCCACAGACCAATTATGCAACGCATATACTGTACATTTCCTGACCCAGGTGACCGTGAGCAGTATCAGTTATTAGTTAGTTGCCATCATAGCCCTGAGAATGCACCCATTTCATCTTTAAGAAAATAGGTTCACTTTGTTTCCTTTTTCTTTGTGTAATTATGTGCTAATGTTTGCTAAAATTTTATCTGTGCACTTCCTTCGTTACTTCTTTATTTACAGGCAAAGATAATCAATAAAAACAACCTGCACTACTAACAGAATTAAAAATAAACTTGCGAGTCTCGATGCATATATTGTACATATTGTATTCAAATTAAGATTTATTTTATTGTAATAGGCAAAGGTATAACAAATTGCATGACTGAAGTGGAAACAATTGTTTTTAGGGCACCACAAATGTAAGTTTTTAAGAGCAAACTGTGTTTTTATCTATTGGCATTAATTTGTAAAATATGTGTTATAAATTAGGCTATATTTAATGCAAAAATAAGGTTTTTTTGAAAATGGGCAATAATGACAATGGCAACTTAGATGACTCGAAATAATTATTGGAAAAACAGAAAATGAGCAATGACATAACATTTTAAACAATGTTTGCAATAACTGTAGGCTAATTTAATTTTTAATTAAAAAAATGAATGTGAAACTTTTTTTCCATTCAGCATCTGGATGGTCATTATCGTTTTTATGTTTAATTAAAACAACAACGTGAAACAAAGACTTACCAATGAAATAAAAAGTTGTAAAAAGCTGTCCTTGCGTCACAACCTTATGCGGCCTTGTTTTATCGGTGTGGATGCGTCACTGGTATGGTCGCATGTGCCTCCGTGCTCCTGTTTTCCTCCAGTGTGACTTCAGTGACGAGGCTGAGCTGAACAGGAGGCGCGCTGTGGTGGTGTACTTGTTATGCTGAGACGCTTATTCCAACTGCCTCTTTATTGCAGCGCAGCCTCCGACACCTAGGCACGTCACACAAGCATGCCCATATACAACGCAGCAGGCAAAGAACATTGCTAGTATATATCGATCACTGAACAGTTCCTGTAGGTGTGTTTCACGTTAGTGCGCCATCGGCATGGCTATGTGAAGCGTGCATAACACATTTCATAGATAATTAAATTAAAAGTGTAGTCAAACTTCCAGTGAACAAAATCTGCCACCTGGTGGCAAATACTTTTGCAAAAAAACAACAATAACACACACCATAAAAGTGGATTTATGAGGAAGGAAAAACTGAAATTTGCATAAAGCTGAATATCTTGGCATAGTATTTCATAAGAAATGGTTATATGTCATGGATAGATCAATAACAAACTTCCTACTTCCTACTTTCAGAAAGAAAGTAGATTAACCACTGTATGAACCAATCTGCTGTGTCCTTGTAGAGCTGGAAAGACTTTGTTTTTTAAAACAGATTTTCAAAAATATAACTGACTTAATGTTGCCATGGGCATCGATAATGTTTTATTAATTCAGGCTTTCGTGTTGTTTGGGGTCCTAGTTGGTGCTGGGTTCAAACAGAAGGAGATGGTTAGAGAAAAGCAGAAAGAAGACAAAACATAATGAAATTAGAGCTATCCTTCTCTTGTTGTCACTGTCTGTAATCTTGATAATTGATTTTATTTTTTAAATGGATGTAACGGTCTTATGGCACTAAACTTTGTGTATTTTAGCACTTGTGTTGAGTCATAGCCAGGGGGTCTATACAAATGTGTAATTTCATGACTATATGAAACAATACTGGGAGGTTGTTTACAGGGACCAAAACACTGTTGACTCATTGTGGAAGTATTTGTGGTTAAAGCTGCTTTTGATTTGTGCAAAATTAACACTGCGTGCAGGTGCCCTTGTGTGCGTTCCCAAACACATGTACATTTTCAGGCTGGCTGTAGCTCAAGAGGTAGAGCGAGTCTACTAATTGGGAGGCTGCTGGCTGCTCTAGTCTGCAAAGTATCGGGCAAGAACCATAAGTTGCACTCCAATGCATCCATTGTAATATGAATGTGTGTGAATGACAGAAAAAAACTTCTTGTATGAGTGGGTGAATGAGATACAGCATTAACTGTGGGGTTTTTCACTGTTAAAGTAACTTGCTCCAGAGCAGGTTAAGTTTAGAAATCAACAGCCATGAAGTCAGCACCTATTGATCAATCAGTTCCCCAGGGTCACAGTTCCTGGAAGATACCTCAAACCTCAGTGCACAGATGTTAAAAGGGTTTTTCAGTGGTTTCTAATGCTTTTGTGTTTTGTGATAACCATCAGTAACAAATATAAAATATTTTCCTTGATTTTCTTTCCCTTTCAGGTGCACACAATGTTATTTTTCTATGAGCATGGTGACTTTACATCAACTATGCACATAGTCTAAGCCTACATTTAAATTCTGTTTTTACACTTATTCTTTTCTTCCTTTCAGACCGTTAGACACCAGTTTCTTTACTGACTTCAGATGAGTTTATTAATCTTGTCAAGAAAAACAAAGATATCTTATTTTGAACTCACTTTGCAGCACATGGACAAGGTGCAACGGAGAAACAACAACAAGACAACCACAAAAAGGGCATGAATTTGTAGGTGGAGGCCACAGACCACAGACTCTTTCCTTATTGCTTCTGATCTGACTTTATTTTTCTCTAGTTTTACTTTTTGCTAGCATCTTTGTCCCTAGCATGTGTGGTATGTTCTCCATATTCAGGTTGCACAAATAATCTGTAATGTAAAGAAGATTCCAGGAAATAGGCAGTTATGTGAGGAGAGTTAGACAGAGCTCCACAGCAGGACCAGGATCTGCTCCTTTGTGTGAGAAAGAACAGGAGGAACAATGCAAGAGTCCTACAAACTGACTTCAACCAGTCGAGTCATGTGCCTGCATCAGACCAAACTGCCAGAAACAGATTTAATGACAGTTGCATGAGGACTTGACATCCTGTAGTGGTAAATTTGCACATTTGTCATTTTTGTTTAATTAGTTTATTTGTTGAATAGGGACAATGTACATGAATAAACATTGCTGTAAATGCACCAGAGTTAGCAACAGGCAAATTTAGTCACTTTTAGATCTTAAAAGAAATGGTAAATGGTCTGTATTTGTATAGCGCTTTACTAGTCCCTAAGGACCCCAAAGCACTTTACACTACATCCAGTCATCCACCCATTCACACACACATCCACACACTGGTGATGGCAGCTACATTGTAGCCACAGCCACCCTGGGGCGCACTGACAGAGGCGAGGCTGCCGGACACTGGCGCCACCGGGCCCTCTGACCACCACCAGTAGGCAACGGGTGAAGTGTCTTGCCCAAGGACACAACGACCGAGACTGTCCAAGCCGGGGCTCGAACCGGCAACCTAAAAACAATATACAATAGCAACATTTTAAAAACAAAAGGTAGAAAAAAGAGAAAAGGTAAAGAAGACATTAGAAAACCCATACCAAAGGAAAGCAATATGGCACTAGGAGAGTAAAACCAAATCAATATTGACAAATTATACTACAATCTTTCTTTCAACTGACTTTTGAAAATATTATGTGCAGTGGTGTTCTGTCAGGACAAGCAAGGTTTTATCAAATCTAGAAATAGACATAAATTAAAATGTACCAAAGAAAGGTCATCTCTGCTGGCATACAGCTCCTCACCTGTCAATTAGTAGTTGCATTAAGCCTTTACATTACTGCCATCTTGTGGCCATTGTCACTGAAAGCGGTGCTTACTTCAGTCTCAGAGAAAACTGTAGTCCTCTCTGTCTCTGACGGAGCGTCCATCTCCCGTCAGGACTGATTGGAGCAGGGCGAGAGAGGCCAGCAGCTTGCTTCTGGTGGTTTGGCACATTGTTAATAACCCGCTGGTCTGTGACTGGAAACATATGCTTTGTAAGCTTCATTTAATGTATAACTTTTCGACATAGATTTTTTGTTTCAAATAAAACAAAATAATTGCGATGGCACATACTGCTCCAATAAGCTGAGAGGGTATTACAACAAGTTAAATTTTAAAGTTTAAACAAGTATTATCATGTATTATCTGTATGCGCAGTCACATTGTGACACTTAAGTTTACTAGCTGGGACCACATCCTCAGTAACGATGAGCGATGAAGGATGAGGAACTGTGAACTGGTGCTGCGGTTTCGGGAAGGCTTCGAAGGGGACTGGAGACAGCTCCCGGGCCGGGCAGATCCCCATGTACTAACTAGAAGTGAATGAAGGAAAGGAAAAGAGGAGAAGAGGAGAAGAGAAGGAAAAAGGGGGGAAGGGGGGACATGAAAATGAGAACAGCATTTCTCAGCTTGAGGCCAGAAGGGGCGTGAATGAGGAGTGGTCCCGCTCCTGAAATTCAGATGATATCTCCACTTGATTAAGTCAATAGTAATCTGGTCATCTGTCAGAGATCATAAATCATCAGTGTGCTGTAAGAAGAAAATGGACAGATTATACAGATGTGCAGTACTGCTTCAATTCAGTTCAATTTGGTTTCATTTATACAGCGCCAAATCACAACAACAGGCGCAGAAACAGAAAAACGCCCTTTTAACAGGAAGAAACCTCCAGCAGAACCAGGCTCAGGGAGGGGCGGGGCCATCTGCTGTGATTGGTTGGGGTGAGAGAAGGAAGACAGGATAAAGACATGCTGTGGAAGAGAGACAGAGGTTAATAACAGATATGATTCAATGCAGAGAGGTCTGTTAACACATAGTGAGTGAGAAAGGTGACTGGAAAGGAAAAACTCAATGCATCATGGGAATCCCCGGCAGCCTACGTCTATTGCAGCATAACTAAGGGAGGATTCAGGGTCACCTGGTCCAGCCCTAACTATATGCTTTAGCAAAAAGGAAAGTTTGAAGCCTAATCTTGAAAAGTAGAGATAGTGTCTGTCTCCTGAATCCAAACTGGAAGCTGGTTCCACAGAAGAGGGGCCTGAAAACTGAAGGCTCTGCCTCCCATTCTACTTTTAAATACTCTAGGAACAACAAGTAGGCCTGCAGAGCGAGAGCGAAGTGCTCTAATAGGGTGATATGGTACTACAAGGTCATTAAGATAAGATGGGGCCTGATTATTTAAGACCTTGTATGTGAGGAGCAGGATTTTGAATAATTCTGGATTTAACAGGAAGCCAAAACAGGAGAAATCTGCTCTCTCTTTCTAGTCCCTGTCAGGACTCTTGCTGCAGCATTTTGGATTACTGAAGGCTTTCCTGGTCAAAAATGACTCCAAGGTTCCTCACAGTGTTACTGGAGGCCAAGGTAATGCCATCCAGAGTAAGAATCTGGTTAGATACCATATTTCTAAGATTTTCAGGGCCGAGTACAATAACCTCAGTTTTATCTGAATTAAGAAGCAGAAAGTTAGCGGCCATCCAGGTCTTTATGTCTTTAAGACATTCCTGCAGTTTAACTAATTGGTGTGTGTTATCTGGCTTCATGGACAGATAGAGCTGGGTGTCATCTGCATAGCAGTGAAAATGTATGCTATGTCTTCTAATGATGCTGCCTAAGGGAAGCATGTATAATGTAAACAGAATTGGTCCTAGCACTGAACCCTGTGGAACTCCATAATTAACCTCAGTGTGTGAAGAGGACTCTCCATTTACATGCACAAACTGGAGTCTATTAGATAGATATGATACAAACCACTGCAGCGCAGTACCTGTAATACCTACAGCATGTTCTAATCGCTCTAATAGGATATTATGGTCGACAGTATCGAACGCTGCACTGAGGTCTAGCAGGACAAGCACAGAGATGAGTCCACTGTCAGAGGCCATAAGAAGATCATTTGTAACCTTCACTAAAGCTGTTTCTGTGCTGGTGAGCTCTGAAACCTGACTGAAACTCTTCAAATAAACCTCTGCAGATGATCTGTTAGCTGTTTGACAACTACTCTTTCAAGGATGTTTGATATGAAAGGAAGGTTGGAGATTGGCCTATAATTAGCTAAGACTGCTGGGTCTAGAGATGCTTTTTGAGTAAAGGTTTAACTACAGCCAGCTTGAAGGCCTGTGGTACATAGCCGATCATTAGAGATAGTTTGATCATA